GCTCCTCAGAGGCCTAGCAGGAGTCCAGTCCCTGTGCTCCTCAGCGTCCTAGCAGGAGGCCAGTCCCTGTGCTCCTCAGAGTCCCAGCAGGAGTCCAGTCCCTGTGCTCCTCAGAGTCCTAGCAGGAGTCCAGTCCCTGTGCTCCTCAGAGTCCTAGCAGGAGTCCAGTCCCTGTGCTCCTCAGAGTCCTAGCAGGAGTCCAGTCCCTGTGCTCCTCAGAGTCCGAGCAGGAGGCCAGTCCCTGTGCTCCTCAGAGTCCCAGCAGGAGTCCAGTCCCTGTGCTCCTCAGAGTCCTAGCAGGAGTCCAGTCCCTGTGCTCCTCAGAGTCCTAGCAGGAGTCCAGTCCCTGTGCTCCTCAGAGTCCTAGCAGGAGGCCAGTCTCAGTGCTCCTCAGAGTCCCATCAGGAGGCCAGTCCCTGTGCTCCTCAGAGTCCCAGCAGGAGGCCAGTCCCTGTGCTCCTCAGAGCTGGCTCCTGTGGCTCTAACATGTCACAGATGTACTTTGGTTCGAGGCCCTGGAGAGACTGCTTTAAAGTCTATATTATCTGAGCCACAAGAAGCCAGTGCAGAAATGGCAGCCCAGGTCTATTATAAATCGTGATTCTACTGCCTGGGTCCAGTCCAGACTCGAGCTGCAGCAGATCCACTACAGGTAAAACCCAGGGATCCAATCTTCTGTAGAACGTGTTTTCAGTGGTTGCATCACGGAGCTATCAGCCCCCTCCCACCGCTGCCGTCCCATTATTCGTTTTGTAACACTGGCATTGTGGAGTGTGCATGCGGCCTGTGCATGGGGGACCTGGCTCTTTCAAAGTGAGTCTGAAGTCATTTAAGGTTCTTGTTATTTCCCCTCCGCACTGACGGGCGCTGACGGCGGCTCGGCAAAGCTCCGCGCTCAAAGTGAAATGTGGTGCATGGAGGGTTTTTGCTTCTCACGCACACCTCCCTCCGGTGCAAACTGATGCCCCTGTTGTCCTGATAAACTCCGACAGTGTGAGAGCATTGTCTCCGTGCCACATGCGTATGCTTATGATGTCTCGAACGCCCTGTTGTGCTTTCTTCCGCCGACACAGACCAGTTGAAAGGCAGCAGCAGCAGCAGCAGACGGAGAACAGACAGTAGGATTTACCTCCACCTGACAATCAGCCCAGAGAGTCCCACACGCTTTTGCATGTCTGTGGACTTCTCTGTGAAGTAATAAGAATAATAAAAGTGGCACATTTCCAGCAGTTTCCTTGACAGATACCAACACAGTTTAAGAACAGTGATGATAAACAGAGATCTTTCACTTTTACGCTGAAAAAATTGATAAAATATGAGGCACTTTTTGTTATTATTACTCGTTTTATTGTTGTTTTATTTTGTAAACGATGGCTTCTTCTCTGACAATGTTCAAATCCAGGTTAAAAACAGTTCTGTTTAGCTGCAACAACGAAGGGATTTTATCTTCACTCTTTTTAATGTACCAGGATTATTTATGATTCTAATCCCCTTGTGTGACGGAATATCTTATTCCGTTGAGCACTTTGAGTTGGCTTGAGTATGAACTGTGCCATACAGATAAACTTGCCTTGCCTACAATGCATGTTATTTCCCCTCCACACTGACGGGCGCTGACGGCGGCTCGGCAAAGCTCCGCGCTTCCTGAGAGTTCTCTGTTTACAAAACCCTCACAAATCATAGGGATCAGGATATAAGTGTTGTGCTTTTATGAATGTTTTGTAAAGACAGATAGAATTGAATTTATTTATATTTTGCATACTTAGAAAGTATTGGGTGAGTGAGAGGGTGAAAACTGAAGTGACAAAAGCAAACCGTTGTGAAGGCAAAGAACTACAAGCAACATGGATTTTTACCACATCCATCTTTGCGGTGCGAAAGTCAGGTACCCCAGGTTTGAACTTACTGAGATTTGCCAACATTTTATGCATGTCAGTAAAAAAAGACACCTCATGCCTCCCAGAGCAATCGCCACATTTTTTATTTATTTTTCTTGTCTAGTTTGGTGCCATTTTCGCACAGTAGCACGGCCTGCTGGGGTGACAAACGCTTCATTCCAACGTCCCGCCCACCACCGCTCCCTCATAAACAGAGCGAGAGATTCTGCAGACAGCCAAGGGAGCAGCGAGGCACCGGTCTGAGCTTGATTCGGAGCAGCAATAGCATGGCCCCTCGCAGCGAGCGCCACTGGCTTCGGGCGCTGCAGCGGGAGAACGCACACAACAGCCTCCACCATGGCGCTGTCTCCTGTCACGCCGCCATTGCCAACAACATGTCTGATTCTATCTTCACCAGAGCATGGGTTTTAGTGCCACCAACAAACGGTTTATTGATGTGATGACTCAATGGTTGTTTTGTTTGTTGAGCTGAAAGGCCGGGTGGCTGTAGAGAGATGTATGAAAATGTAGTGAAGGCCAAATGTCCTGCTTTGCTGCTGCCAAAAATAAGTGTATATTTACTTCTTGTTTATTTTTGAATGTTCTGGAAATGGCAGCAAGTCCTAAGTCGCTCTGAAACTGGTGTTTTTTTGTGCCTTGTAAATGTTATATATTTTTCTTGCTTATTTCTACCTGCGATGTTGCTGCAGTACAGTGTTCATGGTTTTACACTGGTCCAGACCAGAGCAGAGAGGATTCATGGTTTTACACTGGTCCAGACCAGAGCAGAGAGGATTCATGGTTTTACACTGGTCCAGACCAGAGCAGAGAGGATTCATGGTCCGAACCAAGTGGATCAGGTGAAAATCCACTGGAGGAATGCTAAGTTTTAGAAACAAGACATTTAACATTTTACTTTGGACCAGAGCAGAGAAAATGGTCTGAACCAAGCTCCACCTCTGCTGCTGTGACCTGAAGGACTATTGTATTTTATTATTACTATTGTTTGCGTGTTAAAATGATCACTTTGTTTGGATGGATGTGTTTTTTCCGCTACTCACCCGAGAATTTCTCCAACGGGGATCAATAAAGTATCTTTTTATCTTTTACTGCTGCGGTCTCTACTTCTCTACTCTAATTTGATCATAGTTGGAGTACCTAACTTTTGTATAAATTAATTTAGTTTGACCCATTTATCTCAATAGAAAACATGCTTATTTTACATACTGAGAGCTGATTGGCTGAATGACAGTTGGCGTTCTTCTTCAATGGAAAAAGCTGATCTTAAGATGTGACAGAATCCAAAGGAAACCAGCTTTTTTACAGAGCTAGGACTAGTTACACAGATCTCTATACCATGGTTAATTTGCTGGTTTCAATCTTACACATAGAAAACAATTCTCAAGAAATATTAAACTAATTGGCCTTTATCAAAGCAGTGCTTTTTTCCACCATTCAATTCAGTTCAATTCACTCTTGTATCGCCTTAAATGTTGTTGAATGTTGTAATTTGTATGAAATTGTTGTAAATGAATAATTCCGTATGAAGCAGGTCCGCTCTGGACTGTATCAGTACAATTCAGGGCCCATTTATGTTCTCACTGTATTTGCCCTCTCCCCAGTCTTCACTCCAGGTATAAAAGCAGACCCTTGGCTAACATGGACCTCTTTCTTCCTCCCCGCAGGCCAACGCGATGCTCAACAAGATCTGCCAGGAACAGAGTGGGCCCACGGTGAACAAGACCCAAGTGAGAGGAGGCGGGGGCGGAGGAGGAGGGTCCACCTATGTGTTCAAGGTAACATCCACAGACGGCTCTGGCGAGAATTCACGGCTCTGAAAAGAAGTCTATGTGGACCATTGCTCAAATACGATGGGACTCTGTGGGAAAGTTTACAGCGTCAAAGAATGACAGACTGAGTTGGGTTCAGAAGCACAAAGGGCCGTGGGGCCTGTATTTCAGTTTCACTTCTTACAGAGTTTGTTCAGACAGACTTTCCTCTGCCAGAATGAAATCAGGATATGCATTATATAGAGCGATCTCTTTTCTTACCTTTTTACTTCATAACATGAAGTAATCCATGGCTGCTTTGGCTCGTTCATTCCATTAATGTCAATGCAAAAACAATATCCACTTTTAATTTTTGAAATATTGTCCATTCTTGAAAAAAAATCCAGAAATTAGTAGTAGTAGTAAGAAATTAGTGATTTATTTGGCAGGAAAAACGTCTTCAAAGGCATTACAAGTTTTTCCTAATTTGCTAAAACTACAGTGGATTTGGCCCTAAAGCCTGGGCAGGTTCGTATTCCTCTCCTTCTTAGCTAAACAACGAAACCTTTGCTGAAGCTGTAGATGCTTAATTTTTTTCTAAAAAAGCCCATTTTGTAAATAAATCAGCCACGCCTCAGTTCACTTACAGCATATCCAGCCATTATGATGGTTCGACACAACCTATCTGTGTAAAACGGCTGGTATTTTGAAAAATGGGACTTCCTTGTCTCGCTCTCAGCGTTTTCCACAATTAAAAACGCAGAAACACTTTCCCATCACTCTATGTCAGGTCTAGGTAAAGTGTGCTCTCGTGTAGTGTGATCAAACATGGCGGTGTAGTGACGGTTGCTATGCAGGTCACGTGCTGGTGCAATACCTCTATAGCACGTCATATCACATCGAAATAATAATAGACCAGGGATCGGCAACTCAAAATGTCTGGAGTCTGGAGCTGCAAAAAACTACCAGCCTTAGTTTTTTGTATTTGATCCAGTGGTGATTGAATCCAAACCTGCTAGAAAATAAAATCCAAACTCATGTCAAGTAACATTCATTTGTCAATATACAATAATATGTCAATAATAATAACAATAACAATAATAATAATGAAACCACTTTTATACTTTTGGCCCCAACCAGCTGTTATAATTTTAAACTTGGCCCCCGACTAAAATGAGTTCGATAAGGATAAACTTACATAACTGGTTGTTTCTCTTCTCCTTTACTTTTTCTCTTTTTGCTAACACGCTGGAGGTGATTTATCAAAGGAAACATAAATGTAGAAATCCTTGTCATGTTGTGTTAAAGGATTCCAAATGTGAAAGAACATTTTTAATCATGCTTTCATTCCCAGGTGGAGAGAAACCAGTACGTGCCTCTCATTATCGCTGCCGGGGGAGGGGGTCGCGGGTACAGCAGCCCATCAGACACTCAGCTGGAGCAGATGGACTACAACCTGAGTCAACCCGGCCGCAATGGGAAATCTCACTCTGCAGGTAAACCAACGAGAGAGAAGCCAGAGTGACGTCTGAGTGGACCCTCTTCTTCACCCCTACTGTGACCTAAGCCAGAGGACGTTGTGTATTTCTCTTTAACACTAGGACGCCCGGAGCAGTCAATTTGACGGCGTTTTGTTTTGGATGTGTAATTACGCCGTATATGTGCGTGTATGCGTTTTTGGTCTTCATAAATGTTTTACTTTTTCTGTTTCTATATGTAGTGTATTTCTACGCCATTATGTTTCTGAAAGCGTTCTCAGCTAGTTACCATAGCAACATAATGTTTACCAGCAGCAGTTAGCATTTAGTTGAATCCATTTGTATTAAAGATAAAAACAAATGGATTATTTAATTTTGTAGTATTGAATGACTAAAACGATGTCTAAAACAGTTTTTGTTTGAATGGGAGTCGTTGTTGGCTCTGGGAGTTTTTGTATTGTCAGGATTCTGGGAGTTTTCGTAGTGTCAGGATTCTGGGAGTTTTTGAAGTGTCAGGATTTTGGTAGTTTTTGTAGTGTCAGGATTCTGGGAGTTTTCGTAGTGTCAGGATTCTGGGAGTTTTCGTAGTGTCAGGATTCTGGGAGTTTTCGTAGTGTCAGGATTCTGGGAGTTTTCGTAGTGTCAGGATTCTGGGAGTTTTCGTAGTGTCAGGATTCTGGGAGTTTTCGTAGTGTCAGGATTCTGGAAGTTTTCGAAGTGTCAGGATTTTGGAAGTTTTCAAAGTGTCAGGATTCTGGGAGTTTTCGTAGTGTCAGGATTCTGGGAGTTTTCGTAGTGTCAGGATTCTGGGAGTTTTCGTAGTGTCAGGATTCTGGGAGTTTTTGAAGTGTCAGGATTCTGGGAGGTTTCGTAGTGTCAGGATTCTGGGAGTTTTTGAAGTGTCAGGATTCTGGGAGTTTTCGTAGTGTCAGGATTCTGGGAGTTTTCGTAGTGTCAGGATTCTGGGAGTTTTTGTAGTGTCAGGATTCTGGGAGTTTTCGTAGTGTCAGGATTCTGGGAGTTTTCGTAGTGTCAGGATTCTGGGAGTTTTCGTTGTGTCAGATTTCCAGGTCCGAGGGCCAGATACGGCCCGCGAATGAATCATCTTGGCCCCCAGGATGATATTTGATTAGATTAATAGGAGGATTTTTTACTTCCGGGTGGATCATAAATCCAATCGTCAATCATTCTGCTGATACGTGCTCGTCAAATAAGGCCAGAGAGATTTGTTCAAAAAGTGGAGAGGGCGGTTCTTTCCCAAAAACTTGGGGAAATCCTCCTATAAACCTTTAATGTTTATTTACAAAACATAGAAAAAATAATTTCAAAATATTTAAAACCACAACCTCAATACATTTTTTAGTAAATAAAACCTGTTCTGTAATCAATTTTAAAGTGTCAAAGTGCAATGTTTTCTTTTCTTTTCAACCTCAAAAATGTAACGTGAGAAAGTATGTAATCGTGTGATTTTCAGAAAGTAACTGTATTCTAAATACCACAATTTAAAGTAGTAACTGTAATGGAATACAGTTACTGAGAAAGAGTATTCTGAATATGGCGATACATGTATTCAGTTACTCCCAACACTGCATAGAGCCTGTGTTAACGTAATCGCTAAAACCATGACCTAGAGGTGAGGGTTAGGCATTTTAAGATTCAATCGATGGAGTTAGAACTCAACATCTTGACACATCTATACATTATTACAAATCAAGTAAAACTTCTTCACCTCAAAGCGCCTTTCTGATTCTTTAATGCTTCGAACAGACTTTCTGGAGTCTTAGCATCTCTGATTAAATGGGATTTACATTCATTTTATTTGAGATTTAGAGAAAAACCGTCCCAAAAATATGTAAAGCGTTGATTTGGCTGTAAAATCTGCAGCTTTATGTAAACTGAGGGAACGTGGGAATGTTCAGTACTGTGTAAATGTAAAACATGCATTTTATAAAACATCGACGACCAGGCTACATCTAATGTAGCCTGGTCTTACCACACCATTGTACTCATTTCACTTTGTACTAAGGTCTGGATTTGCTCCATTGAGTAAAAAAATAATAATAATTGCATTCCTTCAGTGGATTTACACTTGATCTGCTCGGTTCGGACCATGAATCCTCTCTGTTTTAGAGCTACTTTAGTCTTAGCCTTAGCCATCTTTAAACTCCTGGCCATGATCATTTCCTACATGTACGTCTGGGTCTGATCCTAGTGGCTGCAGAATCCCCTCCGACCAATCGGAGAGCGGGGGAGGCGGGTTTTGTAGGTCGGTGTCGGTGATGTCAAGAGTTTGCGCTGAATTAGCTGGTTGTAGTTTGTAAAGTAATCCGTTCTGGTTCAATCCAAATATCAAGACATTGAAGCCAGAGCAAGAGGAATGTTTAGCAAATGTAATTTGTTAGTTAGTCGTTAGCAGCAAAGAAAATGGCTAATGCTAGGCTAAATTCTAAATGCCTCACTCACTCTGGCTCATTACATACGTCACGGTAAACTCAGATCCAATCGTTTCAATCTCCAAAAGGAGTTAACCCATCCCACCTCAATGCAGTCAATGGAGCAAATCCAGACCTTTGTACAAAATGAAATAAGTACAATGGTGCGGTAAGACCAGGCCAGAGCTACTTGCTGCCATTTCCAGCTCATTCAAAAGTGTTATGTTTCCTATTCCCAACATCACGTCCTGTTTATTTTCCACCCTCCTCATATAGAACTGTGCATCTTGTGCTGACAGGTGGAGGAGGGGGCTGGAGTGACACTGCTCCCATCAGTCAGGGGGGCAGACCGCTGGTGCTGGGGGGCCAGGGGGGGCAGGCCTGTCAGAAGTTCTGGCAGACTCGCGGAGGCTTCGGGGGCGGCGGAGGCGGCTGTATTTCCGGAGGAGGCGGTGGGGGCTACAGAGGTAAGGACATGAGATGAAGTGTTTAATACACAGCAGTTCTCGGTCTGTGGGCTGTTTGATGTCGCACATGACACATATAAGCATCAGGGATCAAGGAACAAGGAAGTCCGGTCTCTCTACATTCATTCTGCAGGCTTAGACATGACAGTTCCCGGCACCTTTGGGAGAAGCCGCTCAGGGTTGGCGATAAACCACTCTTTTCATTTCATTTGTACACATCCTCAGGGAATAGTCCACAGTAAAAAAGACAATTTTCAAAGTGTGTGAATGAACAAAGCCCAGATATATGTTTAAACTAAAGCTTTGTTGTAGGAGGCAATACGTCCCTGGAGAATAATCCCAAACACGATGGAGATGATGGGACGTCGTTCCTAGGACCAGAGGGAGAGCCTTTTCTTTATCCTCTGAAGGGTAAGACGTTGCATTTATCTCTGTGCGTGTGGTCACATAAGCAGAGAGCCTGTTGCCATGGAGATATTTTGTGCATCCTTTAGATACGGAGTAGGTCACACGATTATTACGGCTGTGTTCCAGATTTGGTGATAAGTGAAACAAAAATGCTAATGGGTTTTTTGCAGAATTATTAAACTTCTAAAGTACTAATGAATCTGTATGCAGGAGGCACACGCCAGGCCTACTGTTCATGGGTTCAGTGGTAGAGCAAACCGCAGCACCCAGAGCAAATCAGAGCTGACACGGGGAGAACATGCAAACCCCACACAGAAAGTCCTCATACATTTATTTTTTTAATTCTTAATTTGAGCCCTGTGCTTTATAATCTGTTTGTGATATGTGTATATGACCAAGCACTCGCTAAACTTTACTAAAGCTTTTTTTTTTCAGTACCTCATCGTCACTTAGTATTTGTATTCATATATTTAGCACATAGTTATAGTTGGATTTATAGACATACATACATTACAATATATTTAGCATACTCATGTTTAAAGCAGTACATAATTGTAAACTGAATCTTTATCTAATGATGTACCGTTTTGTTATTTATTTGTTTTATCGGCAGCACGGTGGCTGAGTGGTTAGCATTCTTGACCTCCCTCAGCTACCTGCTTAACCTGCACTTTATTTTTATTTTATTATTCAAGTTTTTTAATTCATTTTTTCCCCTATGCACGAGGATTCATCTTCTGTGAATTGCCTTTTTAAAGTGGTGGAAAATTTGCACTGATTATAATTGCGGATATTTTATGAATTTGAGGAATAAGTGCGACCACTGGTTTTACCCTAATCACCACCATTTCCTCCTTGCTTTAAGCGGCACAGTCAGGTACAGCAGATCAAATGAAACTCGCAGACAGCCCGCCGTGCGCTCTGAAAGGCCCCGGAAAGGACACACGTAATGCCACTGATGCTGGCTTGTTTGGCAGAATACAGATTTGTAAAAGCTCAAGGACCAGACTGAGCAAGTTGTGGAAGTTTTCACAGCAACTTCAGTGGACTTTTAAGGGAAACTTGCCAAATTAGGAGAATGATCTTGTCTAAAACTATTTTCTTCTGTGATCAGGCTGAAACTCGGGAAAGTCTATGAAACCAAAACACTGGAGACCTTTTTCTGTCAAAATAAGTACATTTGAACAGTGCTAGAGGTGTTCCTGTTGGTATTAATAATGATTAGTTCTATACAGGGCTTTTCAGGACAGTGTAGCCACAGCTGCCCTGGGGCACACTGACAGAAGCAAGGCAAACCAGTCTGTACCTTCAGCCCCTCCCACCATCAGCCATTCACACACACTCACCATTCATTCTTGGCAATGTGGATGAAGTGTCTTGCCTATAGGACACATTTCCCTGTGTGAATAATGAATTTGTTACTAATAATAATAATAATACATGTTATTTAAAAGCACCTTTCAAAACCCCCTGTACTTATTTTGATACCTGCTTTTATTCAAGCAAAGGTGCGATGCCCTATAACTTTTTTTTGTAAATAAAATCAGGCCAAGGACAGCTAAATTTCACCAAACTGGCAACCCAAATGAGAGCCACATTGTGCTCTCTGACACTGTACAAACCTGGTTCCAATTTAAAATGATATTGGCATTTTTCAAAATATAGACTAAAAGATAGATTCCACGTTTAACTCATTGACAGCCATTGACGTATTAGTCTGAGACCCTTTATTCAACTGGGGATTACAGGAGAATAAAAATAGCTAAAAACAAACTTATTTTTGCAGATGGAAGTAGACAATCCAGTCTTTCCGAATCTGGTTTCACATTTCACATAGTCTTAGGATATAATATTCTATGGGTCTTGAGAATCAGTGATATCATCAAAAATGGCTGGCAGTCAACGAGTTAAAGAGACTGAATGTTATATTTAGATTTTATTATACACCTCCACGTGTCCCCAGAGAGTCATCAAGTAATTAAAAAACAATGGTGATGATAATAATATTCATGTTGACACATTTTTGCCAAATTATCCAATCAGAGAGCACAATGTGGCTCTCATTTGGGTTGCCAGTTTGGTGAAATTTAGCTGTTCTTGGCTTGATTTTATTTACAAAAAAAAGTTAAATGGCATCGCACCTTTGCTTGAATAAAATTAGGTATCAAAATATTTAGAGTAAAGGGTCTGGCTCAACCCCAGGAGGCAGTTTGCATCAGAGTCACAGGTATATAGGAAAATCCTGGCAGGAAAATGCAGGGTGATTGTAATGCATTTAGACCGCTGCATTTTTCATTCTGTCCTCTTTTTCTTACGTCAGTTTTCCACTCGCGCTGTAGATTTAACACGTGTCGAGTTGATCTAACATGCTATTTATGCACATGGTAGACCCTGCACCAAGCCCTGTGCTCCCCCATCCATACAATGTGTCAATTAGTATTCTGTGAGCAGCTGTATTCAACATATTTGTATTCAGCCAATAACCCTTGGCAGTGTTTCTGGGTTAGATTTATGTATTTAGAGTCCCGAGCGCTGATAAGAGCATGCGTACAGTGCAAATGAAAATGTGCAGTCTTTCTCCCACCACCAAACATTAAGACTCAGATTGCCTCTTTACGACGAACAGAGGGAAATGTCTGAATATATTAGGAAGACGCCCTTTAGTATCAACAGAATCCTATAATGACATACGTTATTATTTGTGGAATAGAATGTTGGGGAGAGAATATTGACACCATGCACCACCTGAGAAGGTTTTTACAAGAACCAACCTATCAAAACCAGTACTTTATGAGGACTAAATTAGATAGATGGATAAGATTAGATTATATTAGATAGATAGACACTGTAGATAGATACAGTATATAGATAGATAGATAGATAGATACTGTAGATAGATAGATAGATAGATAGATAGATACTGTAGATAGATAGATAGATAGATACTGTAGATAGATAGATAGATAGATACTGTAGATAGATAGATAGATAGATAGATACTGTAGATAGATAGATAGATAGATACTGTAGATAGATAGATAGATAGATACTGTAGATAGATAGATAGATACTGTAGATAGATAGATAGATACTGTAGATAGATAGATAGATAGATACTGTAGATAGATATATACTGTAGATAGATAGATAGATACTGTAGATAGATAGATAGATAGATACTGTAGATAGATAGATAGATAGATACTGTAGATAGATAGATAGATAGATACTGTAGATAGATAGATACTGTAGATAGATACTGTAGATAGATAGATACTGTAGATAGATACTGTAGATAGATAGATAGATCATTCCAAAAAGCTAACAATTGTAATAATAAGGACTATTTTAGGACTATAGGCGTAAGATTAGTTAATATCATGACAAAAACATGAATCAAATTTGAAGACAACCAGATGTTAGTTTATATGTCGGACAGGTTTGAGGCCCACTACCCACTCGACATGATTTGGACGCTCCGGTGTCCCCGACGACCCGAAACATGTTGCAGTATGAATGCAGTGAAGTGATGATGGGGGTCGTAGCGGCACAGACAAACTGCATCACTTCAATCTGCAGAGACTCGAACAGACAAAACATGGGTATTATTAGAACTGAGTATTGGCTGGCAAGTAATCTGACACTACCTCACATACTCATATGATTCTGAGTAGTGTACAGAAATGTGGTTAGGATTTGGTCTTAGACCCCGACGGAGCACTGCACGGTTGCAAGTCTATCTCTTTTTAACTGCAAAAAGGGTTACACATGGGTACACATTATGTCAACTTGAACCTTGAACCTTGAAGGAGACAGAGATCATGAGATGATATCCCCCGGGGCCTAGACCCTGTCGGTGGTAGCTAGAAGGGTGAAAGAGCTGGCCCAGAATGAAGCTGAGATGGGGAGGAGGAGGGTTGCGGCGTGAGTGATTCCTCTGCTTGGATGGGGCTGATGTTGGCAGTGCTTGATTGCTTCCAGAAGAGGGCAGTGTGGCAGTTAATGTGATTGACAGATGCGATTACTGTGAAGAAACAGCGGGAGGACTTTGGTCTTCTGTCTTTCATTCTGAACCTCTGCTTTAGTTTAATTTATGCCAGTCTGCCCCTGGGCAACTGTGGCTATTGTATTAACTTACTACCACTGTGTAGAACATGAAAGAATAGTGACTCTATAAAGCTGCTTTTGGACTGAACACGGAACCTTTAACATATTATTGTAATTTCTCTCTCTCACAATTGTCCCAGCCCCTGAAAAGATGTGTTTTCCGTTTCAGTCATGGAGGGTGACGGAGAGGTGATCATCACTCCGGTGCAGAACTGCAGCCACTGCGAGAGCGGAGACTGCCACGAGAGCCAGGAGGGCATCATCTGTTACTGTGACGACGCCCTCATCCTGGCACCAGACGGGTTGTCCTGCGTCAACGCCACAGGTCGGCCATCCTCCATGCAGCGCCGTGCACCTCACATAATGGACCCACAAAGTCATTCGCCCAAATAGCCTGTCTAAAATTAATCGAAACAAAGTGGAAATGGTTTGTAAAATGTAATTCCACCTGTAATAGACTGTGCCTATGACCACATAATGAACTCTTCTCAGAATGTAATTAAGCCCTGCAGGCTCTTTACTCTATTGAATCTTTATTTGAGGAAACATTTCTAACAGTGTCTTAATCAGTCATAATGATTATAAAACCGCAGGATAAGCCAAGTTATCATTGAAAATTAATCCCCCCGTGGCACAAACGTGGTGTAATTCTGCACGTATAAGTCGTTTTGATAATTTCTGACTTATCTACAGCACCGTCAGATCAAGGGTTTGGCTTATCGGGTCAAGGATTCGTGATAAAAGATTTACTGTGATGACATTACACGCTGCGTTTGTATCTGCTGCTGTCTAATGGATTAAATGAGCCAATGCAACCGACTGTGCTGGATAAAATCTTGTGAACCTTGTGCGGCGTTGCTGCATAATTACCTCCATTGCATAAAATTACCTATTCTCCTGCTAAATAATGTAAATAGAATAAATCTCCTTGTAGAGTTTTAAATGGGAGATTACATTATGTCTGTCAAGCATTCAGTAAAGAATATAAATCTGCATACAGGCTCGAACAAAGCTCCATCATGTTTTAGACTGGCACATTGTTCTTCTGAGCGCGCCCACAAAAGCAATTTAGAAAAGTGCTCGACGCAAAGACAAAAGTGGATTAAACCAACATTTAACTAGGTCTAGAACAGGACCAAGACCAGTGGGTTTAATTCCAAGAAAAAGCTCAAACTCGAGAACAGGTAATTGGACATCCTGTGCCTGGTCTTACCATGTGTAAACTCTGGTCCATGATCATTTCCTACATGTACGTCTGGGTCTGATCCTAGTGGCTGCAGTTTCCTCGGTTGAATCCCCTCCGACCAAACAGAGAGCGGGACCAATCAGAGAGCGGTTGTAGGTCGTGACGGTGACATCAAGAGTTTGAGGCGAATTTTCTGGTTGTAGTTTGGCAATGGTAATGGTAATTTGTTGTGGTTCAATCCAAATATCAAGAAATTGAAGCCGGAGAAAGAGGAATGTTTAGTAAATGTCATTGCTGTAAAGATGTTGTGGCTCTACTGCCCACGGGCTCCGTTAGTGGCAAAGGAGATGGCTAAAGCTAGGCTACATGCTAAAGCTAGGCTAAATGCTAAATACCTCACTCATTCGGGCTCATTACATACGTCACGGTAAACTCAGATCCAATCGTTTCAATCTGCAAAAGGAGTTAACCCCTCCCACCTGTTAACGGAGTCAATGGAGCAAATCCAGACCTTAGTACGAAAATACATAAGTACAATGGTGCGGTAAGACCAGGCTAGGACATAATCTTTAACATACACATTTATCAAGGCTTTAAAACTTGACTGAAAACAAACTTTCCAGATTCTTAAAACTTTAGCACAGCGCTTTATTCGTGGAATCGGTGCCAATGACATTTTAATTTCTACCGAGCACAAAGCAGAGCTGTAATTATCGCTCTGTAATACGTTACCAGCCTGTCTTTACTTTTAAAGCAGAATTTCCACATCCATTTCATCAAAGTCAGAAAAAGCAGCGCAGAAAAAGCAGTATATGCCAGGTCACAATTTCAGCATTTTCTCTGTGGGGTTTCATTTGTCGGAAATGTTCTATTGTGATGGAAAGAGAATTGACATGCAGCTAAGCTCTTCTATGTCATCATTCTCACATCATTAATTAAGTTGGGATCCAAAGTGACAGTGAGAAAGTGACTCCTCCTCTTGGGGAAAGATAACTCTGGTTGTGCTGTTGTGTTGTCCAGAGGTGTCCCTGCTGCCTCCCCAGCCCTCTCTCTCACACCTGGCTCTGGGTCTGTCTGTGGGCACCTCGGCGCTCATCGCTGCCCTGCTGCTGGCCGTGTCCGGGGTCATGATCAGTGAGTATGGACCACGTGTCAGTGTTAATCATGGACCACGTGTCAGTGTTAATCATGGACCACGTGTCAGTGTTAATCATGAACCACGTGTCAGTATTCAGCATGGACCACTCACTTTTGTCATCACAATGTATTCCACTGTGGGGATTTCATCATTAAAATAAACCAGTTGTGAATATTTTAACATCTATCTATCTATCTACAGTATCTATCTATCTACCTATCTATATCTCTCTATGCATCTATCTCTCTATCTATCTACAGTGCCTTGCGAAAGTATTCGGCCCCCTTGAACCTTTCAACATTTCGCCACATTTCAGGCTTCAAACATAAAGATATAAAAATGTAATTTTTTGTCAAGAATCAACAACAAGTGGGACACAATCGTGAAGTGGAACGAAATTTATTGGATAATTTAAACTTTTTCAACAAATAAAAAACTGAAAAGTGGGCCGTGCAATATTATTCGGCCCCCTTGCGCTAATACTTTGTAGCACCACCTTTTGCTGCAATTACAGCTGCAAGTCGCTTGGGGTATGTCTATCAGTTTTGCACATCGAGAGACTGGAATTCTTGCCCATTCTTCCTTGCAAAACAGCTCGAGCTCAGTGAGGTTGGATGGAGAGCGTTTGTGAACAGCAGTCTTCAGCTCTTTCCACAGATTGTCGATTGGATTCAGGTCTGGACTTTGACTTGGCCATTCTAACACCTGGATACGTCTATTTGTGAACCATTCCATTGTAGATTTGGCTTTATGTTTTGGATCATTGTCCTGTTGGAAGATAAATCTCCGTCCCAGTCTCAGGTCTTTTGCAGACTCCAACAGGTTTTCTTCCAGAATGGTCCTGTATTTGGCTCCATCCATCTTCCCATCAATTTTAGCCATCTTCCCTGTCCCTGCTGAAGAAAAGCAGGCCCAAAGCATGATGCTGCCACCACCATGTTTGACAGTGGGGATGGTGTGTTCAGGGTGAGGAGCTGTGTTGCTTTTACGCCAAACATATCGTTTTGCATTGTGGCCAAAAAGTTTGATTTTGGTTTCATCTGAGCAGAGCACCTTCTTCCACATGTTTGGTGTGTCTCCCAGGTGGCTTGTGGCAAACTTTAAAGAATGACTAAACACCAAATCAACTTTTTTTAACTCATAAACTGCATAAGTATGTTTATTGTAGTGCTGTCTACATATCCTGGTCATTTTTTTGACATTTTAGTTCAAATTAGATAAATATCTTTTATGAGCCAAAAAACGCTGTGTGGCGCCCTCTCAACCTTTTTGGTGGTACTACATTTGAATTTGGTTCTGGCCTCTCCATTGACTCTGAAGTTCTCTATGACATCAGTTGTTTTGTGTGACGTCAGTCTGTCAGAGCCAGTGATGTGAACCCATTCAACTCTCACACACGCCCCAGCTGCAGTTTGGAGTATTCTGGCGCCATCTAGTGGATTAAAATTAAATTACATTCTGAGATTATTGAGTGTGATTAGGTTCAGGTGTGTAGCTTTACAATTATCTTAGTGTGTAAACAAGGGTGGAATAAGACTTTCTGGTCTGTAAACTATTGCTTTAAGCAGCAATGACAACTGTCTGTTTTTTTTGTGTGTGACAAGTGAGCTGTCAATCACAGCCCAGACCACGCCCAACTCTAAGCCCCCCTTCTTGTCCCTTGGTCCTCCAGGCAACGCCCTTTTTAGAGAAACTTTTCAAATCTTCATGTGGGCGGAGTAAGGCTGGGCACAGGTGTTTAGTCGCTCTTTAAACAAGACTTTTTATCGATATCTTTGAGAAATGGCTTTCTTCTTGCCACTCTTCCATAAAGGCCAGATTTGTGCAGTGCACGACTGATTGTTGTCCTATGGACAGACTCTCCCACCTCAGCTGTAGTTATCTGCAGTTCATCCAGAGTGATCATGGGCCTCTTGGCTGCATCTCTGATCAGTCTTCTCCTTGTTTGAGATGAAAGTTTGGAGGGACGGCCGGGTCTTGGTAGATTTGCAGTGGTCTGATACTCCTTCCATTTCAATATAATTGCTTGCACAGTGCTCCTTGAGATGTTTAACGCTTGGGAAATCTTTTTGTATCCAAATCCGGCTTTAAACTTCTCCACAACAGTATCTCGGACCTGCCTGGTGTGTTCCTTTGTCTTCATGGTTCTCTCTGTGCTTTAAACAGAACCCTGAGACTATCAAAGAGCAGGTGCATTTATACGGAGACTTGATTACACACAGGTGCATTCTATTTATCATCATCAGTCTTAGGACAACATTGGATCATTCAAAGATCCTCACTGAACTTCTGGACTGAGTTTTCTGCACTGAAAGTAAAGGGGCCGAATAATATTGCACGCCCCACTTTTCAGTTTTTTATTTGTTAAAAAAGTTTAAATTGGGCGACAGTAGCTCAGTTGGTAGAGCAGTGGCCTTTGAGCCTGGAGGTTGTGAGTTCGATTCCCACCATGGGACCTACTCCAACTGCTCCCACTGATGTCTACTGTCGTTGTGTCCTTGGGCAAGACACTTAACCCCACGTTGCCTGAAGCCCCCGCTGAAAGACCAAGGCTGTTTCACCACTGACAGAGCAGCCATCTTCCTGTGGCCTCACCCCTGCAGAAGATCAACGAGGGACTGGTGCTATGAGCATTGGGTGGCAGCTCTCATTGCCACCCCCCTGACCCAGAAATGGACAATAAAGGGCTTGAAAATGAATGAAAATGAATGAAACAAGTTTAAATTATCCAATAAATTTCGTTCCACTTCACGATTGTGTCCCACTTGTTGTTGATTCATGACAAAAAAATAAAATTTTATATCTTTATGTTTGAAGCCTGAAATGTGGCAAAATGTTGAAAAGTTCAAGGGGGCCGAATACTTTCGCAAGGCACTGTATTTCTATGCATCTATCTATCTCTCTCTCTATGCATCGATCTATCTCTCTCAATGCATCTATCTATCTATCTCTCTCTATGCATCTATCTATCTATCTATCTCTATGCTAAACTAGGCTGTTCCAAAATAAAAAACTTCAGCATTGACTTCAGCAAGACAAAAGGACATCTTTAGAATTCAATGGATAATTCTCTTTCCGGGTACACCCCCACCAGCCTGGGGTCAGATTGTAGCATGTTTGCGCACATGCTCATGGACCTTTTTGAGCCGTGACCCGCCCGCACTGGTTATGACATTTTTTGGTAACACAATGACGGCAAATGGATGGATTCACGTTAAAATTCAGACTTTGATGTAAAAACATTAAACTGTGACTCCTGATTGACCATGCATTAACCATTCAGACAGATTCTCTGAGTCGTCCTGAAGGATTATCCTTTTTGCATTTTTAGTAAGAGAATTCGAGCTCCCTTCCAAAAAGAGAGCCTCAGGAGAAAATCTGCATGGATCCTCTAACCTTTATGCCTGACAGCTTTTGCTTAAATGTCTTTCACTGGATTAACATCTTTAACCTTGCAATGCTGCAGTGATTCTCTGAGTCCAATTGAACTTTGAAACAGACACTGACAAAGTATGTCTAAAACTGCATGAAAGTTATGGATAATTACTTACAATGCATTACATTATCTTATATTTCTATTTACTAACAATACATTACCTTCTCTCCTTTGTCAAACTTTAAACTTCTCTGACCCATTTCTACCTTTGCCAATGGCTCTTTTCAAATGCCTCCAGAACATGCGGCTCGTGCTATGTGTCTGTCTAATGTGAGTTTGGCATCACTATACCATGTTAGAAACCTCCTAAAGCCGAAGCCCGCCCAGAAGCACATTACAGCGCTGCCCTCAGGCCTTTTCACGCTGCAGAAGAGCAGGCAGGTGCAGGAATCCCTCTGTGGTGTATAAAACCACTAATGATGGATGGCTGCTTCGTGCGCAGCTGACAGCACTCATGCATTAGACAGGCCTGGGTAAATAAATGCACTCTCCACACAGACTCGGAGGTGTACAAACACAGAAATGCACCAAATTCAGCTAATGTCTTCGTAATGTAGGTCAGGACTTTTGTTGTTGCAGTCTGTTGGCGCTAACAAACCGTAATCACTGGCTAAAGTAGAGGCTGGAAGTTCAGAGAAACCCATTTGAAGTTACTGTAGCTTCTTCTTTTTGTTCTTGATGGATACTTTTACAATTTATACTGAGATTATCTTGTCTTGAAAGCAGCGGCGTAAGCATACAGATCGGAACAACCAATTTGGACCAAAGATGGTGCCTTGGGTAACACCTGAAATTGTGTACAACCATTTATTATTTATTATCGTGGCCAAATTGCACACAAAAGCCAAATCCTGTCAGACCTCTGAAGCTACGCAGAGTTGGGCCTGGTTAGTGCTGTGATGGGAGACATCGGAGAACACCAGGTGCCACAGTGGGGCGGCTGCGGCTGTAAAGTGCCAAACTGTGGTTGTGTCCTTAGGCAAGACACTTCACCCACATTAGAATGAGTCTGGTGTGTGTGTGAATGGTTGATGGCGGTGGGAGGGGCTGATGGCACAGACTGGTTGCCTCGCTTTTGTCAGTGTGCCCCAGGGCAGCTGTGGCCACAATAGTAGTTCATCACCACCATGTTCGGACTGAAAGAATGACGAAGCGTCTTTGAGTGTCTTATCTTTTCAAGGCTGTATGAAGAAATTTTTGTAAACAGTTTATTATGGCTCATAGAAATGTTGTAATGTCAAGTCCAAAGAAACAGCCAATTATTACCAGACACCATCATTAGTGATTATTATTACTTGTATCGCAGATTAACCGTGTGTGTTGTCCTTCCCACAGTGTACAGACGCAAACACACAGAGCTGCAGTCCATCCAGCTGGAGCTGCAGAGTCCAGATTGTAAACTCAGTAAGCTGCGCGCCTCCACCATCATGACCGACTACAACCCAAACTACTGCTTTGGCGGGAAGACCACCTCCGTCAACGACCTGAAGGAAGTGCCCCGGCGCAACATCTCCCTCACCAGGTCACACACCAGTTTATACAAACATATTCTCATGTGTTATATGTCGATAAAACCCAGGTATGACTTTATAAAGGAAACTGTTTGGATTCATCTAGGTCAGGAGCTTCCAACCTTTATCACCCGGACAGCGACTTTTAGGGTTGTACTTGTTTCTTGTGATGCAGGTGTTAGAGATGTCATTTTATTCAGTATACTGTAGAGAGTATGTGCTGCGTGTTCCTCATCCCTATTGTTCTGTAACAGGCGATACAACAGTGACATTTCCCCGCTGTAGCACGACTAAAAGAGCTCTTAAATGTATATAGAAGGATTTTCTACTTCCGGGTGGATCATCAAGACTATTGGTCCTCCCAGTTGTCAATCATTCTGGTGATACGTGCTTTTCAAATAAGACCAGAAAGTTTTGTTCAAGAGTGGAGAGGGCGGTTCTTTCCTAAAATTTTTAAATCCTCCTATTTACTTTTAATCAAAAAAATAGATCACATTTTTCATTAATACATTTCTAAGATAATAATGACATAATTATATCAATAAGACAACATGAACATGTATAACAAAAATATACACACAAACATACAAAATTGAAAAGAGGTTGGAGAAAGCAGACGATAATAAAATTCCAACTTCCCGCAATGATTCAACACAGAAAGGACAATTAGGAACAAAATTGTTCAAAAACAAATTTTGAAAAATTGCGTAGTGCAGTGTAGTACAATGTTATTACACAATATATAGTGACATCTGAGTGGGAAGTCCACTTAATAAAGCAATCTAGTCTTGATTGGTGTGAATATTTCTTGTTTAATGACTGCATTTATAGTGTGTACAGTAGTTGCGTCTTAATACTTTTTAGGCTCAGGAGGTTCTTTCAATATCGGCCAAAAAAGTAAAGAAGCTAGTTCTGGATAAATACTGCATGTTTCGGACTTCCGCCTTCGTCAGAGGTGATCAGCTGTTGTTGCCGGATGCAGTCTGTGAGATCTGTCAGACTGACCACATTCAGTAACAACTGCTGACGACGGCTGAAACTAGCTTCTTTACATTTTTGGCTTATTAAAAGAATCTTCTCAGTCTCAACCATAATGAGTCAAAAGTAAGTAAGTAAGTAGTAAGTAATCTTTATTTATATACCGCCTTTTCACTGCACATCGGAGTCTCAAAGCAGTTTACAATTGTTATTTTTGGAAGCAGGGTCGCCAGTACAGGAGGCACATGCCAGACCTATTGTACATATTTTTAGTGGTAGGGGAAACCGGAGTACCCGGAGGAAACCTACGCAGACACGGGGAGAACATGCAAACTCCACTCAGAAAGGCCCTGGTCCAACCGGGATTCGAACCCAGGACCTTCTTGCTGAGAGGCGAGAGTGCTATCCACTCAGCCACCATGCCGCCCTAAGTAAGGTTTTACAATTTCTGTTTTGTTCTTCCAGAGGTTTGGGTCATGGTGCATTTGGTGAAGTTTACGAAGGCCTTGCAGTGGGGATCCCCGGAGAACCCAGTCCTCTCCAAGTTGCGGTGAAAGTAAGTCCTTTTAAAGAGAGCCGACACTTGAAAATAATAACGGCTTCTGCAGATAAATAATTATGGTGGGCCACATGCTCTTTACTCTGCATAGTGTAGTTCCAGTTAAACTTTACCATCTGAAACACTGCATCATCTTTGTGTCTCATTTACAACAGACTCTTCCAGAAGTGTGCTCGGAGCAAGATGAATTAGACTTCCTCATGGAGGCCTTAATCATCAGGTGGGAAAAAGAACAAAACCATGGCTTTAATGAAGTGCCAACAAAGCAATTCCTCATCTCCTGTTATTTCTGTCCCTGCAGTAAGTTCAGTCACCAGAACATAGTGCACTGTATTGGGGTGAGTCTGCAGGCCATGCCTCGGTTCATCCTGCTGGAGCTGATGACCGGAGGGGACCTGAAATCATTCCTAAGGGAAGCACGGCCGAGGCTGGTAAGGAGACTAAAACTTTTGCTTGTTTTCAGCTAGATTTTCATGTTTGAGTTTGCTTGTTGGTTTAGTGACTGTGTGGTTTGGTGACATCACAGCCAAAGAAAGGAGAACTCTAAAGAGAGAGACCAGAGAGACACCAGAGAGAGACACCAGAGAGAGAGACCAGAGAGAGAGACCAGAGAGAGAGACCAGAGAGAGACCAGAGAGAGAGACCAGAGAGAGAGACCAGAGAGAGAGACCAGAGAGAGACCAGAGAGAGAGACCAGAGAGAGACCAGAGAGAGACCAGAGAAAGACCCGAGAGAGGCCAGAGAGAGGCAAAAGAGAGGCCAGAGAGAGACCACAGAGAGACCAGAGAGAGACCAGAGAGAGACCACAGAGAGACCACAGAGAGACCAGAGAGAGACCAGAGAGAGACCAGAGAGAGACCAGAGAGAGACCAGAGAGAGACCACAGAGAGACCACAGAGAGACCACAGAGAGACCACAGAGAGACCACAGAGAGACCACAGAGAGACCAGAGAGAGACCACAGAGACACCAGATAGAGACCAAAGCGAGACCACAGAGAGACCAGAGAGAGACCAGGGAGAGACCAGGGAGAGACCAGAGAGAGACCAGGGAGAGACCAGGGAGAGACCAGGGAGAGACCAGAGAGAGACCAGAGAGAGAGACCAGAGAGAGAGACCAGAGAGAGAGACCAGAGAGAGAGACCAGAGAGAGAGACCAGAGAGAGAGACCAGAGAGAGACCAGAGAGAGAGACCAGAGTGAAACCTTGTGTATTTTAGGTACTTGTCTTGCGCACACTGGGGGCTTTCGCAAATATATTCCAATGTGGTTTTACTGCAAATAGCAAATAAACTGAATCTGTGACCAGGAACACCCTTCAAGCCTGACTATGGTGGATCTACTCAATGTGGCCAGAGATATTGCCAAAGGATGCCAGTATTTGGAAGAAAATCAATTTATACACAGGTGAGTGAAGACGTATAGCATGTGCCAAAGTAAATAAATGTATGTTGTTATTAAATCTGTAACATGGCGGTGCACTCAGTGGTCGGAGTAAATCGCTAGAGTCTGTATCGGTTTGTCCTTTTGTTTCCATGGAGACGGTGTTTCAGCTGA